TTCTAGTTGCCAGGGTGAGCTTCCTAAAATTAAAATCTGACTCTGTTTAAAATTTGTAAGTGGCTCCCCAAACCTATAGCATTACCATGTACCTCAGAACCACCTGAGGTATGTGTCTAACATGAATATCACAGCGACCTACCCGATCTGAACCTCCCAAAATGGACCTAGAAATTGGCTAAACACTCTCCCCAAGTGATTCTAATGCCAATAGTTCTTGGACCACAGAAACAATGATCTACAGGGTAAAATTCAGAAATCCTTTACAGCAAATCATCCCCCTCTGAGGGGGCCCCGCCTCCCTCTCCAGTCTCTTCTCTTGACACTCCACCCCTAAGCCCCAACACCTAACATCTTATGGTTCCCAGAAAATACTCTCAGGCCTCAACCCCTGTGCACTCACCCCACTGCTCTCCAGTTCTGGGATGCCTTTTCTCCCCTCTGCACCTGGTAAGAACTGGAGCCTACTCAGCTTCATCCTCTAGACTGAGCTCTGCCTTCCCCTCCATCCCCTCTCTGAAGCCTTTCTCAGCTTTAACCCTTACTCCCTGGAGCTGCTTCCTTCTCTCCCACAGCACCCAACACTTACCTAACTGTATTTATTAACTATTTATATCTGTTTATTTCCTTGCCCATATGCCACCAAACTGAGTTCCCTGAAGTAAGGAATTCTAGCTTAGCTTAATTTTGCAGCCCCAGTGCCATGTCTGACCCAGAGCAGGCCCTCAATAAATGCTTACTGAAATAAACAAAATCAAACTGCATGAACCAGTAAGGGTGCAGGCCAGATTCCAGTTCTTTAGCATTACCATCAAGATGTATGCAGCCTCTCCTTCCCACCTAAATTCACAATTATCACAATTCCTGTAATCAGGCTATTGTTGACAGTCAAGTTAATTAACTACCATAATAGCAGAAACCAATTCATCATAAAATTATATTCTTGAAGCCGAACAAGATACTGCACAGAACACTTCCTCTCTGAAGCAAAATGATATGATACAATTTGAAACTAGCTGCTACACTAATCAATTGAAACTAAGCCTTCCTTAGGTCAGATTAGGTATACCACAATAGAAGTTTCACCCTTAGATAAGTGGGGAAATCCTTCAACTAAAGATAGGATAAGAAGAGAGAAGGAATGATAAGCCTCATGAGAGTGAAATCCCTCAACATAACTGTCTGAAGGTCCATTAATAAGCAACAGAGAACAATGGTGGTTAAACTTTCTACATCTTCACATTCAAAATACAAAAGTATCCTTCCAATTTCCAGGAGATGCACAGCTCCATTTTACCATGCTTCCAAAATGGTTTTTATTCTTTTACACTTGCATTCCTTCAACAAATATTTGTCAAATGCCTACTCCATTCATGTGCCAGGCCTTGGCCACACTGAACAAGAGAGCTGTAGGATGTGCCCTCCCAGAGCTCATATCCTAACAGAGAGGGCAGACACTCAACTAATTATTCGACTGTTTGATAAGGCTGGGGTAACACAATGAAGAACACAAGTGTTTAGAGCACATATAACACAGAATCCATCCCATGCTTTCTTCTATACTCAAAATCAATTGTCTTAACAGTTTCTTACTACAGAAACCTAATTACTACTCTATGTGCGCACTCCTTTCAGGAGTTATTCTGAATAACCGCCAGGTTTCCAACTGTAGCTCCTCAGATGTACCTCTAGGGAAGATAAAGAAATTAAACTGGTTCAAAAGTAATTTTTCCACCAGCTGCTTTTACAGTACCAAGTTTTCTCTACAACTCTTTGTTTTAATACACAGGGTCACATCAGGGAATAAAAATCTCTTTTGAGTGTTTTGGGTCTTTACCCATTTATGGGATGATCTTCCTCAAAAGCTGTTTTAATGCGACAGCATTTACAAAGCACTCACTGTCGAAGCCCACATAATGGGAATGGGTGATCTTCAGGAAGAAAAGGTCTCTAGGTGCAACTCATGTTCCAGTTAAACTGACCATACAGACTTTTTTCCTTTGGACCTTTGGATTCATATTTTTTTAATATGAACATAGTACTGAGTAAAGAACCTTCTACTAGAAGTTTAGGTTATAAATTTGTGCCACACACCCCCACCCCCAGTTTTTTAAAGGAAGCCTCATTATAACTAAAATAACATCAATAAACTACGTTTTAGTGAACATTGGATGCTAGTTAAATTGACCTTTGTTTTCCAAGATGATAAGAAATCTGTTGTCAGACACAGGAAGTGAGTCAGATAATGGAAGAGGGAAAAATAGGAATGGAAAAATCACACTAAAATTTTCTGTAAATTAGGACACCTATCTAGTTGGAAATATAAATCTAGGAAAGACAGCTTATAAAAAAAAAAAAAAAAAAAGAAGATTCCCTATTACAGACAATGCTGCAAATGAAACAGCTAGTCTATTGGCACCTACTAGAAAGCCAGATCCTAGTAAGGAAGAAAAAGTTTTATATTTATATAAAAAGTCAATATTTACAGTGCAGAAGAGGTAACAGAAAGGTGGTAGAGCTTAAGGGAAAACAAGAGGTATCTAGGCTAACAACCTTCTTTAGTGAAAGCCCTGCACTGGGTTAAATTTCAACTTAAAATTTTCAGACAAGTCAGCACCTCAGTTCAAAATGGTATGGCACAATATTGCTTGAGAGCAGAGGAATGTACTATGTGACCTTATAAGGTCTCTTACAGTTATCCCAATTCCAGTTTGACAAGATCCACTATGACTCTTCTCAGTTATTCATTCATTCCACAAATGTTTACTGGATGCCTATGCACAGAAGCACCGTGCTCAGGTCATGGTGATCCATAAGACAAGTCTAACCACTTGGGTACTGCATTCTAATGGGGAGACACCTAAAGAACTAATTCCATAAAGGAGCAGAGGGTACTGTGAGAGCACACTTAAGGGGAATGAGATACTTAGGGAATGCTCCTCTGAGGAATATTTAAGATGTGAAGATAAACATAAGTGGGCAGCTACATTCCTGGCAGACATAACAACATTACTTGAAGATCTGAAAAAAAGGGGACGAGGGAGATGGCTGCTAATGTTGGGAGGGGTAGACGGTGAGTGGCATGACATGAAGCTGATGACACAGACAAGGGCCAGGTCATTCAGAGCCATGCAGATCATGTTCTGGATTTTTGGACTTCATTCCAAGAGCAAAGGGAAGACAATGGAGGATTTTAAGCAAAGGAGTGATGTGACCAGATGCACATTTTTTTTAAAGATCACTACAAAGCATAGAGAAAGAACTGGAAGGGCAAAAGTGGATGTGCGTAAGCAACCATATCAAGTAGTACTGGATTATAACCCAAAGTATAAAATAAATATCCATGAATTCATACTGATATAAATAAATCATTGAATAAATATACATTGGGAAGAAAAGATAAATCTTCCACGCAGAAATCCAAATAAATTATGTCAACACTCTGCCCTCAAGGAGGTGCGCATACTGACTTCCTTTCAAAGAGAAACCTGACAAACACTACCTCAGCAAGGTGATCAAAGTCAACATCAACAGTGATAAGTCATGCCGATGACATGTACTCTTCTCACAATGAGAAAGGCACTTCAATCCTGTGGTCTTCCTCTCAAAACCCCATGACCCTTGTCTAATCATGAGAAAAACATCAGACAAATCCCAATTGAGGGACGTTCTACACAATACCTGACCAGAACTCCTCAAAACTGTCAAGGTTATCAAAAACAAGAAAAGTCTGAGAAATTGTCATAGCCAAGAGGAGCCTTGAGACATGATGAGTAAACGTGATGTGGTACTCTGGATGAGATCCCAGAACAGAAAAAGAACATCAGGTGAAAACTAAGGAGATATGAATAAAGTATGTGCATACGTTAATAATAATGTGTAAATATCGGTTCATTAATTGTGACAAATGTACCATAATAACAGAGAAAACCGGGTGTGGAGTATATGGGAACTCTGTATGTACGATCTTCACAATTTTTCTGTAAATCTATTCTAAAATATTCTAGAACCATTCTAAAATTAAAAGATTAAAGTATATCTGGGGAGAGTGGTAATGGAACCATCTTTCTACTTTAGGCTAAAAATGACAGAACAAACAGGACGGGGTGATTCACCGGCTGGTGGGTGGGGTAGAGGACTCAGTAGTGAAAGCGACACAGGTTAGCAAGGACGAAAGGTTACTGCCCATGTGTGGGGCTTGGGCAACTGACTGGACGGATAGTGGAGTCATTCACTGATAAGGGAGTCGTGGAGGATAACCGTACGTGAAGGAAAGTGAACAACCAGCATTTACTGGAGGCCCATTATGTACTAGGCGCTTCTCCAATTCTCATAATCATTCTGCACCGTAGAGACTATTATTTGGCCCAAAGCCAAATAAAGAAATTAGATTCTGGTATCAGGTTCGGTATCAGGTTTATATGTAACTCCAAAGCCCGCGCTCTTTCCACTACACAGTTCCAGTTCCTGCCTGTGCACACGTGCTTCACTGGCCGCCCAGGCGCCTCTTTGCTGGGAGTGGAAGCGAGCGCATCAGCAGTTTGGCCCCAACAGTCACTCTCCCTCCCCGGGCCTCATCTGCCAAATGATTCTCTCCATCTCCGAAGTTGAACGCAAGAGAACCGAGTAGAAACTTTCTTCATTAAAATGAAGACAATTAAGACACCACAGAAGGGAACTGCATCACCTCTCATGGGACTAAAAATAATAATAATAACGAAGTAAAGAAGCGAAGGGAATTCTCTCGCTCCACTCTCGTCGACCGGTCTCCTAAGGAAAAGGCAATCCCCCGGGAGGGTACCGAATCGGAGCAGCGGGCCTAGGATGCGCCCACGCTCCCCGACCCCAAAGCCCCAGCACTCGGCAGGACCCACGGAGAAACTCCCGCCAGCCTGCCCGGAGCCACGCGGCACAAGGTGACACGGACCGCGCCGGCCCCTTAGGCGCCTAGGAGAGGCCGGGACCAGCAGGGAGAGTGGCGTCCGCGGGGCCCGCGCTACCTTGTATTTATCAAAGCCGGCCAGCTGCTCCGGGCTCACGTATTCGTAACCAGCCATGACGACGCGAACACTAGCGCCCACTCGGCAGCGACGCTCCACGACGAGATGGGGAAACACGAGCACCACACCAGCTGGGCAAGACTGGGAAGACCTGGGCTGGCAAAGGAGCTGGAAAAGCCGTGCTCCGCCCACCGCGCACGCGTAACCACCCCAGCCACTTCCGCCGCCTCCCAGAGCGCAAGCGCAGCCCCCACTTCTCCCCGCCCACCGAGGGGGTGTAGCTAGCAGGCTCACGCGGTTCCCCCTTCGCACCGTCGCAGTCCAATCAGCGTAGATCGGGAGCCACTAAGTTCCGCCTTCTAGTCTTCCTCGTCGCTTTATTAGCTAGCGTCAAAATTGGTGAGTTGAGGTAAGGCAAGAGGGGAGGTGAAAGGTCAGTTTCCCAGGCGGACTTGCTCTTCGTCTTTGGGGTGTGCTGGCGGTGATGTGGCATCTGTGCCTGGGTAGAGATTTGGGGATACCTTTTTAGTCGTTGGGGGGGTGGGGTAGGGTGATTGCGTGCGAGTCAGTTCAGCAGTACCTCAGGAAAGAGGGCTTAGTTCCCCCAAGCCGTGAAGTAAAAGCAGACAAAGCGTCTGTGCCCAGCCCGCATACAGCTCCTGGCACAGTGCGCTGCACGCAGTAGCTTAGTGAACGTAATTTGCTGTTGAGAAGCCAGTGAGAGGCTTTTTGCAGTCGGTAAAGGGGCGTGAAGGAGCTTTGGAGACAAGCCCCTAGGGACAGCGTTGTTTGTGAACCTTGGACACACTCCGCTCTATTTATTGCTCTGTTCCAAATGAAGATTGCCAGTGTCTCCCGACCAGATAAAAACGCTGGTCCCTGAGTCTCTAGGGGTCCTTAAATGCGTTTGCAAGAAGTGCGTTTACATAACTGGAGACAATTATGGAAAGAACACTAGATCTATAGCTAGTGTGTATCAGACTAATAATAAAATTGAATAATGGTAATAGTTGCTACCATTTATTGATCGCCTTATAGGTGGGGAAATTTACATAGCTTATCACCAACCCCTGTAACAACACGGTGAGAAACGGAAGACATTTTACCCACTTTGCAGATTAGGAAATCAAAATTCAGACTACCTAATCTGACCAGGATCACTTAATTACACAGCTCGGAAATGGTCAACCCAAACTTGATCTCTGGTATGGAAAGCCACCACATAAGGGAGCCTCTCAGTCTCTCTGGGACTCTGAAACAAGGGCAATTATTTTGAGATCTCTTATGTTCTTTGCATTCATTCATTCAACAAATACTAATTGAGGACTCAGTATATGTCAAGTATATTATTGTTTCTGCATATGTCTTACTTTCTAAACTTTAAGATTATCATGAGGGAGGGACTTCCCTGGTGGCACAGTGGTTAAGAATCCACCTGCCAATGCGGGGGACACGGGTTCGAGCCCTGGTCCAGGAAGATCCCACATGCCACAGAGCACCTAAGCCCGTGCACCACAACTACCGAGCCTGCACTCTAGAGCCTGAGAGCCACAACTACTGAGCCCGTGTGCCACAACTACTGAAGCCCATGCACCTAGAGCTCATGCTCCGCAACAAGAGAAGCCACCGCAATGAGAAGCCCGCACACCACAACAAAGAGCAGACCCCACTCACTGCAACTAGAGAAAACCCGTGCAGCAACGAAGACCCAACATAGCCATAAATAAATAAATAAATAAATAAAGATTCTTACGAGGTAATAGATATAAAACATCTATCATCATACTTGGGACATGGTAGATGAGCAATAAATTTGGGTGTTATTTTCCCTCACTTGCCGTAAGGGGAGGATTTGTATCTTATACAACCTAATTTTCCCCATGTCCCATAGCTTAGCAGCTTGCAAATGGTACATGGTCAATACATTCTGTTGAATGAGTGAGCAAAGATCTCTGATACACTGTGAAGTGCCCAGCTTTGAAAAGGACATTGGAAATGTGAACCTCCCTTTAAGAAGGAAGTTGGCTCTAATGAAAGGAAAACTATGAAACCACCTCCTTATAAAAGTATTTTCTTTGTGCAGGTATTGTATTTAAATCTTCTCTGTGTATTGATAAGAAAACTGAATTGGAATTTTAGACAAATCTGTTAATCAGACTGAATCTATTCTCCCAGGTAATACACTATAGATTTCCTCTATTATGTGTTCCTTTTAATCGATATGGAGAGAAAAAAAACTTGTATGATTTTTATTTTTTATTTTTTTTTATAGAAATCCACTTTATTTTTGGCTGCGTTGGGTCTTCGTTGCTGCACACAGGCGTTCTCTAGTTGTGGGGAGCGGGGAGTACTCTTCATTGCAGTGCGTGGGCCTCTCATCACGGTGGCCTCTCGTTGCGGAACACAAGCTCTAGGCACGCGGGCTCTAGAGCACAGGCTCAGTAGTTGTGGCACCCAGGCTTAGTTGCTCCACAGCATGTGGGATCTTCCCGGACCAGGGCTCAAACCCCTGTCACCTGCAGTGGCAGGCGAATTCTTAACCACTGCGCCACCAGGGAAGCCCTAAATGATTTTTAATATAAGACCTGTGCTTACGGATCTGGCATATAAACTTCATACTTGTAAAAGATATTTAGTTAATTGTGAAAAGCCATAAAATGTGACTTGAGTACATGAACCTAATAGTAGCTCATAAACTGCAGTTATTGTTAATCACTTCAGATGTAAGCAAATTCAAAGTGACATTTCTGATTTTGTAAAATGTTTTCCTACCTCTCTAACATTTTCTTCAAAAGCAATGTTTTAAGAAGAGCAGCTTTTAATTTTGTGAAAGCAGTTACAATTTGCTGCCTCTCTTCTGCAGAAGATTGTAACAAGTTTGAATCAATTATGAGTCAGTCTGAGAATTTCTAAACTAAAACATAACACAGAACTTTGTTTATACTTTGACATCTGTTACATACTGGCTGTGTGATCCTAGACAGCGTACTTCACCTAAACGTGTTCTCTCTCTCTCTTTTTTTTAAATCACATAGAGTGTTTATTTATTTATTTGTTTATTGGCTGCGTTGGGTCTTTGTTGTTGCGCGCGGGCTTTGTCTAGTTGCGGGGAGTGGGGGCTATTCTTTGTCACTGTGCGTGGGCTTCTCATTGTGGTGGCTTCTCTTGTTGCGGAGCACGGGCTCTAGGTGTGTGGGCTTCAGTGGTTGCGGCTCGCGGGCTCTAGAGTGCAGGCTCAGTAGCTGTGTTGCGCAGGCTTAGTTGCTCTGGGATCTTCCAGTGGGATCTTCCCGGACCACGGCTCGAACCCGTGTCCCCTGAATTGGCAGGTGGATTCTTGACCACTGTGCCACCAGGAAAGTTACATAACATGTTCTCTTTTTTAAAGAGTGGGCATTAGACTAAATCTCTAAGATCCTATTTATCTCTGAAATTTAATTAAACTATATCATTTAACTTCTCTAAGTTGAACTCATCTGTAAAGTGATCATAATTCTTATCCTACCTTATAGTTATTTCATAGAGCACGTGAAGTGGTATGGCATGAGCCTGTTAAATTAAGCCCATACACATATAAGATATTATTTTTTCAAAACCCCGTGAATCCTGGACCTGGGTGTTTTACCAGGTACTCTCACCCAGGAAGAGAAAATTGTCGAGTAAACAAGTTTGCCTTTGCAAATGAATCACCTTCCCGTCTCCTGTTTCCTGAATTCCATTCGAGGGCGCATTTATCCCTAAGGCAGCCCAGAGCTGCCAGGGACCACTTCATATTGGCCTGGCTAGTCCCTTCTATACCCCATGCTGTCTCTTCCTTCTGTACCACTGTACTGAGCACAGTTTGCTATTGCTTTGCTTCCTTGGTCTGCCTCCTCATCCACTGAAGTTCCTCTCTTCTTTATCTCATACACTCAAGGTCAGGCTTTTTGCCTTCCAGAATGATAATCATAAAAGATATTTGTGCTAGAACAATGTTATCAGCTTCCTAATATAACCTGGGTTGGGGTGTGGGGGAAATGGTATAATTCCTACAATTCCTGTTTTACTTAGAAGTAAGACGGAGTCAGATAAATGGAGATATCTAGAAAATTGGGAGTTAGTTAAGGACTAATACAGTTAGTAACTCCAATATAAGTTATTAAAGACATAAAAATGGCAAGACTTCCCAAGGAAGCTTGTAAAAAGATACTGATTGGGTTTTTATTTTTAAACAATGATAAAGCCTTATATTCATAAACTCAAAGCAGTTTGACATCTCACTAGATCCTCCTAACAACCCTGCACCGTGGCTGGGTAGTTTTTCTAATTGTACAGAACAGAACAACAGAAGAATTACATTTGGGCAAGTTTTTGGGAAAACTTGCCCGAAAGTTTATGGTAAAACTGGAATAAGAGAACAGGTCATCAAAGTTCTAGTTGAATAACTTTTCCACGGCATCATGCTTCTACAAGTTACCATGGTAAGATGTTTTAAAAAAGAAAATTCACAGGTTAGTTTTTTTTTTTTTTTTAATTTATTTATTTATTTTTGGCTGGGTTGGGTCTTCGTTGCTGCGCACGGGCTTTCTCTAGTTGCGGCGAGCGGGGGCCACTCTTTGTTGTGGTGCGCGGGCCTCTCCTTGTGGTGGCTTCTCTTGTTGGGGAGCACAGGCTCCAGGCGCGCAGGCTTCAATAGTTGTGGCTCGCGGGCTTAGTTGCTCCGCGGCATGTGGGATCCTCCTGGACCAGGGCTCAAACCCGTGTCCCCCGCATTGGCAGGCGGACTCTCAACCACTGCGCCACCAGGGAAGTCCCACAGGTTAGTTTTTAATCAAGTCTGGAGGGCCGGAGGGACTAGGAAAGAACTGAACAGAGTCATTATGTTGCTCGTTGTTTCTTAAAAATGAACTTCCCTGGCTAGCGTAAACCTTCTCAGGTTGGGTTTTGTCTGCCCGGTTTTTGCTGTGTTTTACATTTTTCAAAAGTAATCCTACTAGGTAAGAATGAGTACTGTATTTGAGTGGGACAATCAAATGTTTTATCACAGAAAAGGGCTGTGCAGTATACTGAGTTTCAGCATAAAGTAGTGCTGCTCTGTACCTTCTACTTCCCATGTCAGTGGAGGAGGGTATTATCTCCATGATTCTGTGACTCATCATCCCACCCACCTCCA